ACTCCTGGGAGGGGAGGGAGAAGAGGGCCCATCCAGGAATGGGATTTGGGGGTTCACCGAACTGCGCAGAACCGTCGCTAGTGGATTGCCCGAATCTGGGCAAACCTGGAGCAGCCCCCCCCCCCTTGCTTATAACCCACGTGATTCTCAGTAAATTTCAGGGGAAGCCGGCTATGTGTGAATTATCACAAATAAGCACTAAATGCAAATTCTGAACATATACATTTGGGTCACCTGCTGAAAGAGCTCTTATTCAGAACGTTTGAAAAAGAATCTCATCCAAAAGGATTTTTCATATGGAGATCAGCAAGATATGAATGCCTACTTCTCTGTATGTTTTTAGTACCATTTCCCCCCCAAAATAATACAGGGTCTTATTTTCTTTTGACCCCTGAAATAAGCACTTGGCCTTATTTTCAGGGAGGTCTTATTATTTTTGAGCTGCAGGAGGCAGTGAGCGCGATCATCTCATGGCTGCTGCTGCGTTGCAATATTTTCACGGAGGGCTTATTTTTGGAGGAGGGCATATTTTAGTGCATGAGCTCAAAAGCCTGATTGGGCTTATTATCCAAGGAGGTCTTCTTTTCAGGGAAACAGGGTAGATGAGCAAATACGTTTGATTTCCCAGTATAGGTAGGTAATCCTCAACTTACAGTTGTCATTGAGCCAGTAATCACGGTTCTCAGTTGTCGTGGCCATTAAGCGAGTCACCATGTGAGCGGATTTTATGACCTTTTTTTTTGTGACGGTCATACATGCTGCGGTTGTTACATGACTCCATTTTACCCAATATGCGTTTTTTTGTTCGAAATCAGAAGTAAATGCTGGAAACCAGCCAACCCCCCCCCCCAATTGAAAATCATAGTCATGCGACTTTGGAGTGCCTCAAATGGCTGTAAAGGTGAACTAGTTGCCAAGAGTCCAAAATGTGATCATGTGACCTGCGGTTTGTGTGCCACCCGCCCGTAGCTCTGAAATCAGGTTACGAATAGCTTTTGAGGAGGTCGTGGCTGGCTGAGGAATTCTGGGTGTTGAAGTCCACCCCATCCTCAAGGGGCCAAGGTTGAGAAATCCTGCTGATTGGAGAGAATTTTCCATTGGTATTATTGAAAGCATTTCATTTCAAGGTGTCTCTGTAGGGTTGGAGGGAGGCATGGGAGTTTCTCTGTCCTTCAGCCAGCTCTGCACTTGGGCAGCCATTGTTCTGAACCCACTTTTGTGTGTTTTCAAGATCTGGAAAATCTGAACAAAGCCTGAAGTTTGCTTGTGACAGCGGTTTATTATTAATTGAGTAGTACTGTGGCTATCTCTCTTAAGGGTTTATTTATTTAAAGCAAGCATGTCCTGCATTTCTGCTAGATAAGTAAAGATAAATAGAGACAGATCCTGCCATTAGACTAACTATTTAAAACGACACACATAAAAGGAAGACAAGGAAGGGGGGTGGGTGGGTGAAAGTATTTGCTTTCCCTGATTTATTGCAAAGAGCCATCTTCCTCTAAAGACTTGGAAAAGCCTAAAGATGGTGTCAACTTACAAATGACCTCGGCTTGGGTCTTGATAAATCAGAACACCGACTTCAGCAGGTGCCTTGGAGCTCTGCGGTCCTAACCGATCTGGACTGTAGGTATCTGAATAGCCACTAGAGGGCAGCAGCAAGACATGGAAACACAATCTCTGTTCCCACCTATTGGTCATCCGGATATCTGCAGCCTGGATCTCATAGCTTGGGAGTTGGCTGTGAGATGCCCTTTAGGCTCAAATCTTGGTTTTTTTGTTTGTGTGTTTCAGTCACTAGCCTCCAGTGTGGAATCGGACATCGGGTCAGACTGCGATGGCAGCCATCACAACACACAGCAGAAGCAAAAACATCCCCGGTGAGTGTCACTGGAGCATTAATTGCTGGATTTCAAGCTATAAATCTCAAAATAGCCTTTAAAACTATGTCTTTTTCCTGGGCATGTTCCCTTCCTTCCTTCCTTCCTTCCTTCCTTCCTTCCTTCCTTCCTTCCTTCCTTCCTTCCT